CAGGACTTAAGGCCCAATTACAAAAACAAAAAGGGGGAGTAAGCCCCCACCAACAGCTAGGTTCGGCCTTGTTTAACATCAATATCCTCAATTTTCAAAAAGATCAATTGGAATCTCGATTCCAAAAACATTAGGGCATCAGGAGCAAAGACCAGAGGTATGGGTGAGATGGAAGAATCCAGTAATGGGACAATGGTGAGGACCCAACATGCTCCTTACTATGGGCAGGGGATTTGGATGCATCTTTCCCTTGGATGAACCCCAACCAATCTGGGTACCTGCAAGGAATCTAAAGATTCAGGAATAACCCTGTCCCAAAGGTAACAGCTCTTTGAGGAGAATTTCTATGTCTTATAGGATGGAGTATTTTGGATGGAAGGTTTTTATTGCTGTGCTTGCCGCTGCTGTCCTGACCATCATCATCTTTATCGTTACCAACATTATTCACAATCTGATCAATAGATGGCTGACCAAAATCTGTCAATAATGGTACTCCTTCTCCTGCTAGCCATCTGTCAGATAAAAGCCGAGGACCTCTGGGGGGGTCTGAGGCCAGGGGTGAAGCAAGAAAGCACCTAGAGGAAATGGCTGGGGTGTCACCAGACTTGTTTGGCACCTAGAGGATGTGGCTGGGGTGCAGCCAGACTTGTTTTGAAGAATCGCTAATTGGCTCCTGTCATTTCCGTGCATCTTGGCAGCACGTGATCACTTTGTGAACGCTATGCTGTGCTATGGAGAGGAGACTGCATGCTCAATTTGACCTTTAACATGATTGGACTCTTGGTTGGGGAGGGGATTTTCCTTTGTGGTTTTTGCCTTCATAAGCCCTGTAATGCCTGCAATAAACAAGTTCCTGCTTGACTGGCTCCCTGTCACATCTGATTGTCTCCCGGGGAGGCTGTGGGTAAGGTGCTGACAGCTCACCTCCCTTTCCCGGGCTCCTGTGTTGGGGCAGGATACCCGACAAGATACCTTTATGCTGATTTCCAAATTAATTTGCTAACACTATCTAGTTCTGATGTTTCTTCAGAAGCAAGAAGAAATGGAATGAGGAAATAATTTCTGGTGCACTCTTGACCAGAAAAATGAGCAACTATTGATTGATTTGAATATGCTCTTAGGTCCCATGTTGTAACACAATACTGTTCATATTTTTTTTCCTTTCTTGTCTTTTTTAATATCAAAAATATT